CGATGCGGGACTCGATCCCGGGACTCCAGGATCATGACCTGAGCCGAAGGCAGTCGCTTAACCAACTGAGCCACCCAGGCGCCCCTAAAAAATTTTAAACAAGGGCGCCTGGGTGGCTCAGTCGGTTAAGCGTCTGCCTTCGGCTCAGGTCACAATCTCCAGATCCTGGGATCGAGTCCCACATCGGGTTCCTGGCTCAGCAGGCAGTCTGCTTTTCCCTCTGCCTCTCACCCATGCTCCTGCTCTCTCTCTGTCTCTCTGTCTCTCAAATGAATAAAATCTCAAAAAAAAATTTTTTTAACAACACGTGTTACTTTGCGGAGCAGAAAAAAGCAGAAACAAAACTAAGAGACTCAGGATAAGCAAAGGCAGTTATCCCCCTTTTATAGTAAGAGCCCCAGAAAGGCTCCGGGACAAAGCTCTCCTTCCCGCAGAAAAGGCCCTCAACTCACGAGTGGGTGCAGTTGATGGGACACGGCTGGCACGTGCCCTCCTCATCTGCGAACTTCCAAATGGGCATGAAGGAGAGGTCGGGTTTCACGCCACTAGGGCAGCGAGCCACGCAGAAGGGAGGGTCCTTGTAGTGGGCACAGGCCACACACTGGTCAGCCTCCTGGGAGGGGAGGAAGGGTTTGTAGGGGGCTGGCACCGACACCCCCAGGGCAGCAGGATCCGGCCCGTGTGTCCCCTTGGGGCTTCCCACGGCCACTCAACAGCACGTGCCCCCCCCACTCCTGGGACAGCCCAGACCTGCTGGGTCTCCCACCCCAGGTCCCAGGTCCCAAGGAACCAGAAGTATTACTTAAGATACAACAGCAAGTAATAGTAACTAATATGTAGCAAACCTTTCTTGTGCTTGGGCACTGCACCAAACCCTATTTTAAGTTCATGCTTACTACCTTCCAATGAGGTAGCTCCTCGTGAGATTCGTTTTACAAATGAGCAAACCAAGGGACGCCTGGGTGGCTCAGTCGGTTAAGCGTCTGCCTTCGGCTCAGGTCACGATCCCAGTGTCCTGGGATCGAGTCCCACATCGGCCTCCTTGCTCAGCAAGGGGCCTGCTTCTCCCTCTGCCTGCCTCTGTCTCTCTGATAAATAAATAAAATCTTTAAAAAAAAAAAAGAAAATTAAAAAAAAATTTCTTAAAGTTGGGGAGAAAATATTTGCAAATCATATATCTGCTCAGGGACTTTGTATCCAGAATATATAAAGAACTCTTGGGCACCTGGTGGCTCAGCTAGTTGGGTGTCTGCCTTCGGCTCGCGTCATGATCTCAGGGTACTGGGATGGAGCCCCACGTTGGGCTTCCCTGCTCAGCAGAGGATCTGCTCCTCCCTCTCCCTCTGACCCTCCCCCCTGCTCATGCTCTTTCTCAAGCATGAGCACTCTCTCTCTCAAATGAATAAATAAAAATTAAAAAAAAAAAGACCTCTTACAAATCGATAATAAACAAACAAACCAATTAAAAATGGGCAAAAGAGGGGCACCTGGGTGGCTCAGTCAGTTGAGCATCTGACTCTTGGTTTCAGCTCAGGTCATGATCTCGGGATCCTGAGATGGAGTCCCAGGTGGGCTTTGTGCTCAGTGGGGAGTCGGCTTGAGATTCTCTCCCTGTCCTTTGACCCTTCCCCTGCTCACATTTTTTCACATGTGCTTGCACACTCTCTCTTTCAAATAAATAAATAAATCTTTTTTTTTAAATGGTCAAGGATGCCTGGGTGGCTCAGTCGGTTAAGCGTCTGTGTTCAGCTCAGGTCATGATCTCAGGGTCCTGGGATCAAGTCCTGCGTCCGGCTCTCCACTCAGCGGGGAGTCTGATTCTCCATCTGCCCCTCCCCCCTGCTCGTGATCTCTCCCTCTCTCCTACACACTCTCTCTCTTAAATAAATAAAAATCTTTTTAAAAAATGGGCAAAAGATTTGAATAGATGTTTTTCTAAATAAGAGAGATGGATGGCTAATAAGCATATGAAAAGGTGCTCAACATCATTAGTCATTAGAGAAATGCAAATTAAAACCACAATGATATACCACTTCACACCCACCAGGATAGCTATAATCAGAGACAGCCAATAAGTGTTGACAAGGATATGGGTAAACAAATCCTCATATATTGCTGGTGGGAATGTAAAATGGTATGGGCATTTTGGAATAAGTTGGGCCGTTTCTCAAAAAGTTAAACATAAACTTCTCATGCAACCTAGCAGTTCTCCTAGAGAAATGACAATACATGTCCATACAAAGACACTTACATGAACATTCATAGCAGCATTATTCAACATAGCTAAAAACTGGAAACACAAATGACCATCAACTGGTATTGAATAGATCAGCAGAAGGTGGTAGATCTGTGCAACGGGATACTGCTCAGTAACCAAAGGGAGCCAACAACCCGTCCGTGCTACAGCATGGACGAACCTCAAAAGCTTTATAATGATGAAAAAAGCCAGAAGCAAAAGACCACATATTATATCATTTATATGAAATGTCCAGAAAAGGCAAATTTATAGACAGAAAGCAGGTAGATGGTTGCCTAGGGCTGGGGCTGGGGGCTGGACTGCAAACAAGCAGGAGGGACCTTTCTAGACTGATGGAAAGGTTCTGTAACTGGACAGTAGCGATGGTGACACAACTCTATAAATCACAGAATTTGTTTAAAAATGCATGTTTTGTGTTTTTTTTTTAAGATTTTATTTATTTATTTGACAGACACAGCGAGAGAGGGAACACAAGCAGGGGGAGTGGGAGAGGGAGAAGCAGGCTTCCCGCTGAGCAGGGAGCCTGATGTGGGCCTCG